GGGGGGGGGGTCAATTAGAAAATACAAGTAGAAATCAGAAAATAAATTACTGAGATAAGTGTACTACTGTAATTTAGTGGGCTCCATATATATTCCAATAACATAGCTCTACATCCATTCATGATTTACAATAACATATCACAGTACCTATCAACAGACGGATAATTCATTCAGCACCTGTTTCCTCCACCGATTTCTTATACTCTGGCTTCAATTCATATGTGCCTTGGTTTGTTCCTCTTTTATTGTACACGCAAAGCTCATTCAGTATCTCTTTCAAAAATTGCTGCAAAAGAAGTAAAATAATTAGATACAAAATCATGTCGTAAGGAGAAAAACAATCAAGCACACCAAAAGGAAATATAATCATTTTTTCCTCTCTTTTTGTCGTACCCTCACTGAGAGGGCAAAATGTCCATATCTGAGATAACATGAAAGCAAACTTATGTGATATGACGTGGATGCTAAGAGCTATAGCTGTAAATCCGACACTTCCCTCAAGACAACAATGAATATTAACCAAAAGGCCAGTAAAATAAGTGTGACCAAAAATAGAAAAAAATAACCTAGGAATTTGATAACAGAAAAGGCATCCTTATCAGACAACATACCGCAGGTTGATCTGTTTCTTGTACTAACTGCTTCAAAGTCCAATTAGGTTGTCTTTCAAAAAGCTTGAACATGATATCTTCCAGTTCGCCACGGTCCCTTCTAGTTCTCTTGACTTCCGGTCCCTTAACAGGAACTGCTTTCTTCTTATCCTGCATGGGAACAATGGATTAAAAAGGCTAAAGATGGTTTTCTTTCTTTCCTCGCAGAGATCAAAAAACATTTCGATTGTTCCATGACATAACTGAATACAGTGAGCCAAGCTAGTACTCTGACCGAAAGTCATATATAATGATACTTCAAGGAAGTCAAAAGCATAATTATGAGTGTATGTAACACAATTGTATGCTCTATCATACTTTCCAGAAGGTCATGAAAAGCATTGTCGTCTAAAGAAGGCATTCACTAAAGTTACAACTAAGTAAATTGCAGTATATCAAATCATATACATTAGATAACGAGAAAGAGCCTCTGAAATGACACAATATTCCAAATGAATCTGTAATTAGCATAAAGTCTAAAGACAATGTATTTCTTCCTTGAAACCAAAAGTCTCAACCAACCAAAACAACATGCGTAGTATAGTCCCACCAGTGGAACACCGAAGATTTTAAACAATGGTTTCAATCAGTAAATAGGGAATGATGGTGATAGCCGAAAGTGTAAGCA